CGATTAATCGCATCCAAAATAAAAGTTTTTGTTTACATAATATATGTGTGTGTACTGTGTATATTTATGATGTATATATAAAGACACATACAGCATATATTGAGAAAATATTTACATGTTTATATTTATATTCATATAAATTATATCATATATAAATATATTTAATATATAAATGTAACATTTTTACATTTTACACACTGGTAACATATTTTTCTTAAATATATACATACATGTGTGTGTATTTATATATATATACATAAACATACATAGTATACACACATATATTATGCAAACAAAAACTTTTATTTTGGATGCGATTAATCGTGAATCATTGCGATTAATCGTTTGACAGCACTATTTATTTTATATTGTAATAATATGTTTTACAATATTAAAAATATTACTGTTTTTATTTTTGATCACATAAATGAAGCCTTGCAGAGCATAAGAAACTTCTTTTAAAGACTAAGTAAAAAAAATCTTTCAGATCCCAAACTTTTGAACAACAGTGTATATATATATATATATATATATATATATATATATATATATATATATATATATATATATACACACACACAAGAATGAACCATGAATCTGACCTCCATTCTCAGCCTTCTGAGAAATATCTGGAATCTTCCATAAGATTCTCTGCTGGTCCGCATTCCTATAAACATAGCAATAAAAAATATTATATTATCTACAAAGAAAGAAAAGAATGTTGTTGTTGATCTGTCAAAATGCTCTTTCTCCACATCTAGTACAAGTCATAGTATCATTTTTTCAAACTCGCAATCTAGTACAATCACAATGCTTTATTTTCACAATGACACTTATATTTTTGAAGACTAGTAGTAAATTAATAGAAGAATCCAGTCCATCTCTCACCAGGCAGCTGGAGGAAGCACAGCCTGCAGTTTGCTGACGCCTCCGTCCACAGGGATGAGGAACTGAACATTGTTGAGTGTGACAGGAGTGGTCATGGCACCACCGTTGTATTTGTAGTCTATCCTCAGATCAGTACTGGTGGGCTCACACCTCCAGCTCACTGCTAGATTTAGAGGAGTGGACTGTAGACCCTTCTGTAACACCTGAGGCAAATTTGGTAATGAAGTATTAATGGCATAGCTTCATTCTTGTAAAAACAAAATGGTATGAAATAGTAAACGTTAGTTTTATTATTCGTTTGTTTTAAATTACATTTTTTATTTCGTCAAATTAACAATTTCAGAACTTTACAAGGTCACTACTTGATGTCCAAGGTCAAATCTGGGTCCTGAAGCAAAACCAATTGAGAACCACTTACGTAAGATATGAAGTAAATACCAGTTCTAGATTTTCTAAAATCTAATGACTTCAAGTACTCTTATGTCTACATTGTAGTAAGTTGCTTGTGGTTTCTGCTCCGCCACCTTCTTTAAATGGGTCATCAGGTTCGGCATATTCACCCAGAACTCCTTTGAGTTTGGATTGGGCTGCGTGGTGTCACTGTAGGAAAATTGAAAGTGCATTCAATCTGCAAATCATACTCAACTAATTAGCTATTATCTGTTTTTCCTGTACACTAGGGCTGCACAATTAATCGAATTTCTAATCGCGATTACAATTATGGATGCCACAATTACATAATCGTTCAAAGTCCACTTATGTTATTCTGTGTGCTTAAGATGCTTTTTTTTCTTTCTACACGTTATCTTAAGGGATTTTCCATTGTTTTAATTTTAGTATAACACTATAATACCATTTATATTATTACTTTTTTATCATTTAAAGAAGAAACCAATCCGATGTATAGTTTACATTTGAGGCTTACTGCTATAGAAAAGCACTAAAAGTTTTTCAGTTAAGAGTGTTTTCAGCTTGTTTATTTTCATATAAAAATATGGCATGCAGTTGCTTCACACAATGGTATAAACATTATTCAATGTAAATTGTGATAATTGCAATTACAATTTCGATTTCGAATAATCGATGATTATGATTTTTGTCATAATCGTGCAGCCCTACTGAACACCCTTCAAAGGTTTGGGGTCAATGTTTTTTAAATTTCTTTATTCAGAAATTATGCATTAAACGGATCAAAAATGACAGTAAAGACATTTGCTAGTTTTTTTTAAATTTCCAAATAAATAGTTATTTTGACCAGTCAATTCATCAAAGAATCCTAAAAAAAATTTAGCAGCACAACTGTTTTCAACATTGATAAAAAGAAATGTTTCCTGAGCAGCAAATCAGCATATTAGAACGATTTCTGTCATGTGGCACTGAAGATTAGCATAATGGCTGAGGAAAATTCAGCTTTGCCATTACAGAAATCAATTACATTTTTAAATATTTAAAATGATTCAAAATATTACCATTTATTACCATATTACAGTATTTCTGATCAAATAATTGCAGCCTAGGTGAGCATATAATACTTTGCATTAAACCCCAAACCTTTGAACGGTAGTGTATATAGCCAAGAATGCTTTTGCAAGATCAGTAAATGACCCCTCAGAAAAAAAGACAATGACACACTACTCCTCCAAAAGTGAGGAGATCACATGTGATTAGTGATACAGTATGTGAGTCACCCTCAGCTGACAGTACGGAGTGATTCTGAAGTGAGATCTCACACTGAGAGGATGTGCTAAGCTATACTGAAGTATTAACTCTCCTTCCATAACCAATTATGAAAGTGCATAAGCAATAATTGATAATATATTTGATGGCTGCTGCTTAATTTGTGTGACTAATGAGGAAATATATAATTATCACTAGTCAATAAATATGATGGAGTTTATGGTCTGTGAAGGTTCTGTTGTAGTTGATGTTAGATGAATGTTATTACCAGCACAGTAACTGAGGGTTAGGAAGGACGTGTTCCAGACGACTGTAGTTGGTTATGCTGAAGGTTAGCACAGCAGGTGAGGGGTTATTTGCAAAATGCCGTGTGATGCCTGCTGGGAAGGACAACACCATCTCTCCAGTGATCTTCACCACACACCTTAGAAAGTGACATTATTATACACGTACATAAGTAAAGGTCTGTTGTGTGTAGAAACACAGTGACCAATAAAACATTTCATAAGGGCTATTCACACAGAACAAGTTTTTTCCTTTTCACTGCACTACTTTTTCCATTGTCTTTCTATGTAAACACCTGCTAGATGGACATGTTTGGTGTTCTAAAAAGCAGACGTTCAAGTTAAAAGAAGTTAAACTTTTTTAAAAATGCATCACAAGACCTGGCTTTTTTTTCTCATTCCAGTGCCCATGTCTTGAGTTTTTCAAAGAAAAAACACATTCTATATGAAGGTTGTAATTTTGAGTTTTTTTTAATTGAAAGATAAAAAACTAAAACAAATATGAATAATGCAGATTTATTTTCACAGCCACCCTTTACCAAGGGTGCCAATAATAGTGGAGGGCACTGTCTATATATAGCAATGGCAGCTGTGAAAATAAATCAGCATAATTCATTTTTGATCTTTCATTCAAAAAATTCTAACCTTACATTGAAGTAAAACAATTAAAAGTGGGAGGAAACTCACATTATGAAATAATTGTTTTTCTCCAATGCATGTTGGCCATAATTATTGGCACTCCTAGAAATTCTTATGAGTAAAATATCTCTGAAGTATATTCCCATTCATATTTAATTTTTTTTTAGCACACCAGGGTGACTAGGAGCATGAAATTGTCCAGCCATGACTTCCATGATCTACCACAGGATTATAAATATGAGGAACACAAAGGCCAAATTCCCTTAATCGTCCATCATAAGGAGTAAAATCAAGGAATATAGTTCTGATCCCAAAATAGAAAATAGCTGTAAGAAAACAGCTAAAGCATCGAAAATCCCCATTTCCACCATCAGGACAATAATTAAGAAGTTCCAATCAATTAAAGATGTTACAGATCTGCCTGGAAGAGGACGTGTGCCTATATCATCCTAATGCACAGTGAGGAGGAGAGTTTGAGTGGCCAAAGACTCTCCAAGGATCACAGCTGGAGAATTGCAGAAATGAGTTGAGTCTTGGGGTCAGAAAGTCTAAAATAAATAAATAAATAAATATCAAGCAGCCCATACATCACCACATGTTGTTCGGGAGGGTTTCAAGAAAAATCCTTCTCGCTCATCTAAAAACAAACTCCAGCATATTCAGCTGTCAGACACGACTGGAACTTCAAATGGGACTGGCTTCTATGGTCAGATGAAACTAAAAAAAGAGCTTATTGGCAGTAAACCCACCAGATGGGTTTGGTGCAAACAGGGATAAAAAGTACCCCATGTCCATGGTTAAATATACTGCTGGATATTTAATATTTTTTTCTGCCAGAGGTCCTGGATATCTTGTTCAGATACATGGCACCATGGATTCTATCAAATACCAACAGATAAAAAATGACTGCCTCTGTTAGAAATCTTATAATGGGTCTTGGTTGGATCTTCCATCAGGACAATGATCCAAAACAAACATCAAAATCAACACAAAAATGGGTCACTGAGCAGAAAAGGAAGCTTCTGCCATGGCCGTCCCAGTTCCCTGATCTGAACCCTACAGAAAATGAGTGGGGTGAACTGAAGAGAAGAAGCATGGAGCTGGGAATCTGAAGGATATGGAGAGATTCTGTATGAAGGAATGATCTCTAACCTCTTTTCAGGTGTTCTCCAAACTCATCAGGCATTATAGGAGAAAACTCAGAGCTGTTATCTTGTGAAAAAGACGTTGCAATAATTGGGTGCCAATAATTGTGGCCAACACGAACTAGAAAAAAACATTTATTTCATAATGAGATTTTCCCCCCACTTTCCATTGTTTTACTTCAATGATAATTTAGAATTTTTTGAATGCAAGATCAAAATAATAAATGATGCAAATTTATTTTCATAGCCACCTTTGCTCATATTTACCAAGGGTGCCAATATTAGTGGAAGGCACTGTATGCATACATATATATTTTGCTATGACTCAGTTTCTACAGAGAAATAAATACATTCAAGTGACCTTCAGATACAGCTGAAATGAATAAATGCAAATGAAAATATTTATGCTTATTTCTCTGTAGAAACTGAATATTAGCATAATAAATTTAAATATAATACATCAAATAATTTTAATGTTATATTCATTTAAAATAGTATTATTATTAAATTATATAAAATAATGTTTAAAATGTATGTTATGTATTATTTATTTATTATTACTTAGGGTCTGGTCAGGTATTCTTAGGTATACATGTCAAATGGTATGTATTAACTTTAAAAATTACTTTTGAAATTCCCACCAAGGCCATGTGCTCACATAGGTGTCCATGATAATGCCTGTTAAATCTGATTTTAAATTGAAATGTCCTCCTATTACAAGCCTTTCTGTTTGGGGCCAATTTAGTCAAATATCACTAGTTTATGATGCTGATTAAAGAATCAATATAAACTAACCTACTATTTGGAACTATTTTCAAGTGTTCAATGTTATATTTTTTGAGAAAGTGGTGCTTTATCTACAACTTTATTATTAAAGTTCTGTAAGTCTAGGATAAAATAATTATATTGCACAACTTTAGTGTTTTTGAAATGTTTAGCTTTAATGCATATTTCTATTCCATTAACTTAAAAATTTAAACGGATAGTTCACGCAAAAATAAAAATGACTCCATGATTTACTCACCCTCAAGCCATCCTAGGTGTAGATGATGTTCTTCTTTCAGACAAACACAATCTGAGTTTTATTTAAAAATGTCCTGGGTGTTCCAAGCTTTATAATGGCAGTTAATGGGTGGTGATATTCAATAGTCCAACAGAAGTCCAATAAACTGCATCCATCTACAATAAAAAAGTGCTCCACGGGGGGAGGGGGGTGGGGGGTCTCCTGAAGTTAATCGATATGCTTTTGTAGGAAAAATATCCATATTTAAAACTTTATAAACTGTAATCTCTAATCGTAACCCTTGCGTTCCAGTGGCGTTCCAGCAGATGATATAAGATGTAGGCACAGCATAAGCTTCGGTGAGAGGTGATGAACATGGAAGCACAGAGGAGAGAGCAAAACAAAACACCGGTCATGTAGAAAAAAGTACAAAACTAGGATTTGTAAAGAAAAATGTCGGAAGATTTCGATATAAGCCAAGAGGAGACTGGTTTTCCTTTGTTGTAAATAGGGATGCACCGATATGAAAATTTTGGCCGATACCGATAACCGATTATTCTTTATTTTTGAAAGCCGATAACCGATATGTTGGCCGATAAATCTATATCCAAATTGTTATATACTTTTTGAGAGCCTGATTACAAAAAAGGTCTCATCATTAAAAGCCACATCCCAAACACTTCAACATAAGCAGCCTAGTTTGAACGGTGTACGTTTTAAAAATATTTTTACTCTCCCATTACCAAATTTAGTCATAAAAAAGTCTTACAAATAAATAAAATAATGCAGAAATAATGCAAACAAGTCACTGGACATCATTACACATGTAAAGAATCAAAATGACAAAACTTGGTTCTCACGAGACTAGCATATTCTCACCTGAGCTTACGCTACGACTACATCCTACATCATCTGCTGGAACGCCACTCTCTCGTGAATGTGTGTACTTCAATTAGCGGAATCTAGAGATTACGGTTTATAAAGTTTTAAATATGGATATTTTCCTTACAAAAATGCATCAATTCGCTTCAGGAGGCCTTTCTATTGAATATTACCACCCATTCACTGCCATTATAAAGCTTAGGAGAGCCAGGACATTTTTAAATACAAACCTGACTGTATTCGTCTGAAAGAAGAAAGTCATATATACCTAGGATGGCTTGAGGGTGAGTACATTTTTGGGTGAACTATCTCTTTAAGCAATATATAATATCATATAATATAATGTAATATATACATTCATGATTTAATAATGTTGCAGAATGATGTGGGTGTCTACATTTGAACATAAATTCAGTGGTAAAAGAAATGTTGACCAAAGATTACAATTTATATCTGTAAAATACAATTCATTAAAATTCTAATATTTTATAATTAATACGATATAACACAGCCCCTTTTCCCCCAATAGATGCCACAATACAATACGAAATTACAATACAAAATTACAATACGAAAATTAAAATTACAACACGAGACTTGAGTTCACTGTTCATCACTCTGATAATTTCTTAGTATCATATATTGTTTCTTAACTGTAATTACAATACGAGACATGACTTCACTGTTCATCACTATGATGATTTCTTGTTGCCAGATGTTGTTTTCAGCATTGAAAAAAAAAAAAACACTTCAGCTGAATTTGTTGACTGTCATGCTTGATTTTCAGTGTCAATTTCTTCAACAAACAATGGCCTTTGGCTGTAGAAGCAACATGGTCAGGTGGTGTAACTGGTTTGAGTCAATTGGCGTAACCAGTATTTTTCCTAAAAATATAATTATATACAGGAAAATTAATGTGGAATAAAATGTAATCATCTAGTTTAGTGTAATAACATGGTTTTTTAACAATTTTTACATAATTTGTCAAAGATTATTTTGAAAACAGAGGTGTCTTCAGCATATGTCCTGCCAAATATTGAAAAATTGCATTAAAATTTACATTTAGAGATGATTAGACTAAATCATGTCTAGTCTAGTCCAAATGACTAAATGTAGACTAGACATTTAGTCTAGTCTTAGACCTCATTAGACTAAATTATGTATTTATTTCTATGAGTATGCGTACATGCCATCTAGGTGGATAAAATATTTAATATATTTCTCATTCTTAGGCAGTTACACCATTTGACATTTTCAGGTACATTCAGTCTTAACGTTAAAAATGGTGCACATGTCATTTTTAATTACATAAAATCAACAAATACACTATGTGCATTTTAAAATACCAGATGCATGCTTATATATATATATATATATATATATATATATATATATATATATATGCTGTTCTTTCACTCTTTATATATAATTGTGTGTTTTAATATTAGCATTTAATATATGTATTTCTATGAAAAGGGGCCATATATATGCTGTTCTGAGATTGCCACATACTTATTGGGGTCAGCTCCTTTGAAGTAAGCATTAACTGTCTCTGTGAAAGCTGCAGCAACAGGCAGTGTATCCTGGGCCCCCATGGTGAGGGGACTGGGCCCTCGAGAACAGCCTGAAAGAACAAAAACACGCACACCCGCAGATACAGTGTGTTTACAGACAAAACACAATTTCGATCAGTCGCTGAGATACAACACAGTGGCAAATACATGGGTGACAAAGAATGGGAAAAATGGAAATACAAACAAATAGACAAACAAAACATCTCATAGTTTGAGACAATCAGCAGCTGACAAAACAAATTTCTTCATTTGCACTAGGGCTGCACGATAAATCGCATGCGATATTTAACGCGCATCTTATCAGTAAAGCCGGTTCTGTAATCAGCGGTAAATCTCCATCACGTGCGTGCTTTCACATTGAGCAGCATTAACTACACAGAGCCGTTGTTCACTGACGAGCTGCGCAAAACCACGTTCATATCCGCACGATTTTTTGCGCAACACGCAAATGATGGAGATTTACCGCTGATTACAGAACCGGCTTTACTGATAAGATGCGCGTTAAATATCGCATGCGATTTATCGTGCAGCCCTAATTTGCACTTAAACCCAGACCAAAAATCTAGAACAATGCCTTCTTCAGATGGACTCTATTTTCTGTTTACTTTGCTTGACCACACTGTTAGGACTTGGTCAGTAAAAGTGTATTGTCTTGTTCTAAGCAAGCTTGTTCAAATTTTTAATGTTGAATAGGCCAATCATGATTCGATTTCACCTCAAGCATTAGTTCCCAAAGGGCAGTTCACTAGCGGGGAATACAAATTGATGCCCATACAACAACATGCACACACAAGTTCAACACTCTGGTTTCAAGAATAATAATAAAAAATAATAATAATAAAAAAGAAACTTAGGTGTGACATTTAACTAAAGTAAAAATGTGCAGTTATTTATATGGTTGAATTTGATCAAGTAAGTAGCAAAGACACTTGTAAATAAATTGGCATTAAAACCACAAAGTATACCTGTATTAATTAAAGTTTTTATTGATTTTAAGGAATATTAAATCTGGTTTTGTGTGAGTGGGATGAGAATTCCAATGAATTTAATGATTCTAATGCAGATTCCAATTCCAATGCTTTCGGTTCCTTAATGATTATGAGTAATATTGAGGAACAATAAATGGACATTGTTTCAAAGTTTGGAAAAATTTCAGATTTTACACAAAACCGTAACAATAATATTATTTATAATTAACAATTATTATTATTTAATTGTTACAATACAATTATTTTTTTTCAAATTGTAAGCATAAATTATACAACAACAGGTCTAGTACCATTTCTAGCAGATGCAACTTGTATTCTTTTTCTTTATTTTTTACTTTATTTCTTTTTAAACACACAAAATGTAGGCTTTTCCACATTTTCTATTCTAGTTTCAATTTTTAATTTGAATGCAATTCCATTAATTTGGACTCATAAGAACAATCAAGGATAAGTGTAATATATGCAAAAGATGGAAGAGAAAAAGAAAGGAAGTTGAAACAGAAAACACTCAGCTTCAATGGCATGCATTTGAAGCTGAATCATAGTGTCATGATCCAAGACCAAAGTCGAAATGAAGAGATCAAAGCAGACGAGCCACAAAACAACAAGAACGAGAAATCACACAGTATTAGTGACGAAGGTAAAAATATGATGAATATGATCCTTGAAAGAAAAGAAAACCTGCCAATGACTGTAAGATGAACAATTAAAGGGCAAAGCAGGTATACAGAGCAAAGCAGATGTGTGGAGGACAAACAAATGTGTCACAGTTGGTTTTGATGAAGGAATGAATGCGTGAGAAAAAGGGGGAAGTCAGATGTCAGATGAGACTTGAGTGTGAACGCGCTACGTCCTTAGATATTAACCCCAACTTACCTTCAAATGTTAAATAAAACTTGCCTCTGTCAAACCACACGAGGGAGGGCTGGTCTGTCTCTGTGTTGGAGGGGGAGGAGGTATAAGGATGGGGGGAGTGAGGAGAGGCAGGGAAGGAGAAGGGGGAGAGAAGGACAGTAGCGTGAGTCACACACAGGTCCATCATATGGCACAGTGATGGGGGCCAGGGGCACAGGTCAAAGACGGTCACAATTCACCTCAGACAGAGATGACTATGATATGTGAAACATTCACAAATGTTGTACAGCACACTGGGCAAAAAATAAATCAATCTAATTCAATCTTTGTGTAGTTATCAGTCATTTTATTTGAAGCAAGACTCAAAGTATGAAAATAAGGTGACATACAGCTACTACACTCTAAAAAATGCTGGGTTAAGTATAACCCAGTGCTGGGTTAAAAAGGGACAAACCCAGCTATTGGGTTGTTTTGACCCAGCGGTTGGGTTGTTGTCAAAACAACCCAATAGCTGGGTTTGTCCCTTTTTAACCCAGCTCTGGGTTATACTTAACCCAGCATTTTTTAGAGTGTATTAGCTTCAGATTTATAGTTACTATTAATAACAATGCATGTGCAAACTTCTATTTTAATGTGCAATGACAGCTGAGAAGCGATATTTTTTAAATCTAGGGAGATTCAGAGAGTACAATTATGCTCTTACAAAGATTTCAAAATTCTGATTTATTTACGTATAATATCAGGACAGATGAAAGCTGGAGATGATTTGAGCTGCTTGCGAATTAAAGCCTTTAGATTCAAGGATGACGTTAAACAGCTTATACTTAAACTTCTGAAGGAACAAATAATCCAAAATGGAAAGTTCTGTCATTGACGTTTTGATGTCACACCCTTTTGATGAAAAACATTAATAAATAAATAAAATAAAATAACAGTATACGGGTTGTACGCTGTTCATTTCCCCCCCAAAATTCTAAATGCCAACATCCTGCCAACTATGTTACATTTACGTTTATTCATTAAGAAGATGTTGGTATCTAAAGTGACTTGTATCACAGCAGTAGTCCTTAGGAATTTTGCACTATATTCTAAGTCTTTTGTAGGCATACAATAGCTTTGTGTGAGGAACAGACTGAAATGTAAGTTGTTATTGATGAATGTATTCTTCACTGATGTGATTCTTGAGGTTAATGATCCTTGCTGGAGATGAAGATTATCAGCATATAGTGATTTACATTTTAGTCTGTTCCTCACACAAATGATAATATAACAAAAGTCATACAGACTATTTTTATGGTGCTTTCATAATAATTTCTCATAATTTCATTTCAGTGTGATTTGTTCCATGGAAGAAATAACAGCAAATGGGTTTAGAATAACATGAGGGTGAATAAAAGACAGAATTTCATTTTTGGGTGAAAAAGTTTTTTGTTATTTTGGTAACATCTGTGCAATGTGAATGTAGGAAGCTAGAGCCTGCATTTTGTGAAAAGTATATCGTGTATATTTCTTCATGTCTCATATGTGAATGGGAGGAGGTAGCTGCAGTTGGGATGATGGGCAAAAGGGGGCAGTAATGAGTGACACAAGAGGGAAATGTAAATGAGGGCTTCTTCTACTGCGCTGGAGAGGGGTGATCCAATTTCAGACAAAACCAGGACCAGGACTATGAATGACATGAAGATCACTTAAGCAATGAGAAGATGTGATTTGTACAGTAATGCTGAGCATCTCAATGTGTTATCTTGAACTGTAAATTTGATGTTCTAATGCTGCGTTCCCTTCAACTCAGAAAGTCCTGGAATAGTGCAACAGAAGATATATATATATATCTTATGTTTATATATATATATATATATATATATATATATATATATATATATATATATATATATAAACACA